CTCATATCTGGACTCTCATCTTATATTCATTTATTTGTTATGTTATGGTATATATGTCAAAGAATTTCTTCGAGGTATTTAAATATAAGGGAAGTTAACATTGTTGTCAAAGTATAGATGTTTTGGATGATTTATCCAAAGTTTCAAGGAACCCGTTTTCTCTCTAGGTTGATTTTGTATGGCAGGACTACGGCCGGGATTAACAAGACAAGGTGTTATTATTGTCGGTGATTCATTAGTCGGAGCATCCCTCAAGTTTCAACCGAGAACACAGGAAAGGACCTATTGGGATCTAGAATCTTAAGACTCTGAACCCAATGTGCAAGTGGATGCGTTTCAGGGTTTTGTGGGGAAGAAATCTGGGCCCCAACATTAATACATCAAGGGCTGTGGTTCATGGTTTTAATCTACTAAATCAAATGATGTTTCACTTAACTTTATACTAAATAAATCAGTTGGGCTATAAAATATGTTATGGGAGGTGTTTTACCTATATTTTATTTTGTGCTAAATTCCCCTTCTTAAGTAAATAAGTACCTTTATTAATATTCAGTTAGAAAAATGGAGAGAAAATGCTATGGAATAATAGGCACTGCTTCAGCATTTCCCCAATTTATGCATGTGTTTGAAACCGTGGACATTTATTGAATAAGCATCGTCACATAGGCATCACTTTAGCATTTTCCCATTATGTAGATTCATAAGCATAGAGATTAGAAAATGCAGGCTTTGATTTATGTGCACGTCTACCATTGGGGGAAGCTTATTTTAGCACTTCCCCCAACAGGTAAGTATTTGTTCATTGTTTTGCTAATGTTAATAAATGGGTTTATTATTGTTTTTCTCGGTTTTACAAACAAATCAAATACAAACGTTTAGTGAAAAAACGCCCACAGTTCCAAACACATACATAATCTATACATTTATAAATGCCAAAATTTCCCTATTTTTTAATTGGGTGAATTGCTGAAACCTCCCCTTAACCTTGGTAATTTGTAATCACTTCCCCTAAATTTTTTGACATAGCTACAAGTAGACTTTAGATCCCCTTTGTTAGAATCCTTTTAAAAGAGGCATAAAAATGTTCAAAATACCCATGTAGGTACTTTGACCAAAATGTTTATTTTTCTATTTTCTCTACATATGAATCACTATCCCAAACCCTTTAAATCTTTTCTCTGAAATTGATTATTTTCCAAATTTGCCCTTCAATCAATCGCTCAAAGGTAAACCTGCAACTTTAAATTTCTTTCTTTTGTTTTCATAAAGTTTGTATTGTTTTTTTTGGTAAATTACACATAAGTATCCCTGTACTTTGGGGGTGGTGATAGATAGGTAGCTTGAACTTTCAATTGCAACATTTTGAGTACCTGAACTCTTAAAAAATAGAAACTTGGGCCTATCTGTTAGTATTTTGTCATTTAAATATTACATAACACCAAAAATACCCTTTCATCAGTTGAACTTATATAGTTTGATTAATACCACATACGTTATTAGTCATTGTGGGGAGAAGAGTTGGTCCTTTGACTAACTTAATAACCTATATGGTATTCGTAAGACGAGATAAGTCTAAGTGACATAAAGGTAGTTTTAGCATTATGTAATGTTAATTGACGAAATACTAACAGGCAAACCCAAGTGTTTATTTTTGAGAGTTCAGGGCACTCAAGTGTTGCAATTGAAAATTTAAGGTATCCATTCGTCACTACCCCCAAAGTACAAGGTACATGTTATGGATGCACGCAATCATAGGCAGCAGCACGCACCACCCGGCAGCAGCACTTAGGAGACGCATGCACCATCTGGCAGCAGCACTAGAGAGGGGCCCACACAACAGCTTAGCAGGGTGGGTCCACACTTATCTTGCCACAATAGCTCTGCTTGCCAACTCGTCGCCAACTGCATTATCCCTCATCCCTTATCCTTATCTTATCTTATCTTCTTAGTAAGAGTTCTGTTAGAAGTAGGGGTTTGATTTAAAGTTGGATTGTCCTAGCTTAGTTGAATGGAGTAAGGAGTCTCCTCTTGTAATCTCTTATTTAAGGAGTTGTGATTTGGGAATAAAGTATTCAGTTTCCAGTCAAGAGAAGAGTGAGAAGAGTTTGGGTGGTCTCTTGGACAAATCACCCATTCGGTTTTCCACAATAGGGTCTGCACGCAAGGGAAGGCGCAAGGGGAAGCAATAGATTCTCCCCGTGACGAGATCCTATGCCCGGGCCCATAACATTTTGGTATCAGAGCCTACCGTCATGGAGGAACAAAAGCCACTGTCTTCCAGGGTCCACGAGCTAGAGCATAGGCTCGCTGAAACCAGCTTGGAGGTTCGTGAAGTCAAGGATGATGTTTGGGAGCTGCGGCGCCTACTAGAAGCGTTCCTCTCCAACAAAGAAATAAGCTCTGAGGGAACCACCACCACCAACAGCCGTCGTCCAAACTGGGCAGAGACGTCCAGCGAACAGCAGATCGCTGCCCCAACAGCCGCTGTTATTCCCAAGTATAGTCGGCTGGAATTTCCATCTTACAGCGGCACCGAAGACCCGTTAGGATGGCTGTATCGTTGCGAACAGTTCTTCCGTAACCAACGTACGCCTTCCACCTATCAGAAGAGGCGCAACTCTAGTTCTACAGACTGGAGCAAGAAGAACTCAGTCTCAGCTGGGGCAGTTTAAATCATACTATCTCCTCAAGTTTGGGCCTCCGTTGACAAGCAACTCGCTGGGCGAGTTAATCAACCTCAAGAAAACTGGAACCGTGGCAGAATACCAACTCCAGTTCCAAACCCTTCTCGCTAGAGCAACCTCGGTTCGCATAGATCAACAAGTCGATATGTTCACCGCGGGGCTAGCAGAACCCCTAAGAGTGGACGTGGAGATGCAACACCCTCCCAACCTGGTCACAGCCATGAACCTAGCATGCGCCTTCGAACGCAAACTACAACTCAGCCACGGAACCTTTAGTGTGGGGCGGCCTCCATCAGCATGGGCATCCCCGGAACCACTCGGCATGGCTCCATATCCAGCAGCAGCCAAGAAAGGAAGCCACAGATGATCACCAATTCCAGATCAACATCCAGTGTGGGGAGCAGCGTCGCTACACCTCCTACTAAGCACTTGTCCAGGGCTGAGATGGCAGAACGCAGGGCGAGGGGGAAATGTTTTAATTGCGATGAACTCTACTTAGTCGGGCACAAGTGCAAGAGACTTTTCTGCCTCCTAGTGAAACAAGAGGAAGATGATGATGAACCCCCTTCATTGGAACCCGATTCAGGAGGGCAAAGTCATTCCACCTATCCGGGATTCCTTTGACGGTGTTTCCCGACACCCATCCTTAATTCGAGCTTGAGGACAAACTCGTTGTTCAAGAGGGGTGTGATGTTATGGACGCACACAATCATAGGCAGCAGCACGCACCACCCGGCAACAACACTTAGGAGACGCACGCACCATCCGACAACAGCACTAGAGAGGGGCCCACACGACAGCTTAACAGGGTGGGTCCACACTTATCTTGCCACAACAGCTCTGCTCGCCAACTTGCCGCTAGCTGCATTATCCCTCATCCCTTATCCTTATCTTATCTTCTTAGTAAGAGTTCTGTTAGAAGTCTGTTACAAGTAGGAGTTATGTTCTTACTTATCTAGTTCTGTTCTTATCTATTAGAGATAAGAACTGAGTTCTGTWAGAARTYTGTTAGAAGTAGGAGTTTGATTTAAAGTTGGATTGTCCTAGCTTAGTCGAATGGAGTAAGGAGTCTTCTCTTGTAATCTCCTATTTAAGGAGTTGTGATTTGGGAATAAAGTATTCAATTTCCAGTCAAGAGAAGAGTGAGGAGAGTTCGGGTGGCCTCTTGGACAAATCACCCATTCGGTTTTCCATAATAGGGTCTACATGCAAGGGAAAGCAAGAGGTTCTCCCCGTGACGAGATCTTACGCCCAGGCCCATAACAGTACATATCTTTAACTTACCTTCCAGCCTCAATAATAACTGCATGGTATATTGGACATTTTCATGCCTCAGTTTTATAGGATTTGCAACTACATAGAAAGTTTAGTTTAGGGGAGGTGATTGCAATTACCAAACTTAAAAAGAATTTTTATTTTTTGCAATAGTCCAAAACTTCAGGGGAGATTTCAGCAATTTACCCTTTTTAATTTGTGTTGTTCATGTCCTTAAACTTAGTTGGATGAGAGTATTTTGCCCTCTTCAAGAAAAAAAATACCCCTTTCTTGTCTTGAGGTATGAAATAAAGAACACAATGGCAAAATCATGAAAGAGGTAATTTGGGTATTTAAAAGTAGGGTTTGACTATAATATGGAAAAGATATGATATTGGAAAAATAACCGACCAATAAATTAGAAGCATAAATGTAGTAGTGAATCGAGTGTTATTTATCAAAATTCATGGATAGGTTTTGATTGATCAAAACCCTCTCAATATCATATCTTTTCCATATATATCATAGAATTTCTCTTAAAAATAAAATACTTTTTCATCCATTTTATTAACGGAATGTTAATAGAAATGTGTATTTGCTCTAACTTATAAAGGTTCGACTATGATATGAAAAAGATATTATATCCAAAATATGTTTTAACCAATCAACTGGAATCATAAACGTTGTAACCAATCCGGTGTTATTTATCAAAATTCATGAATGGATTTTAATTGATCAAAACTCTTTCCGCATCATAGATTTTCCCTAGCTGAGGGTAATCTGGCATAAATGTGAAACAGCACCATGTTTGAATATTGAAGATTATTCTTACATATATAATCCAACTCATGCGATATAGTTGGCAACTCCCTGGTCTGAGAGGCTGAGCCCCAGTGCAGTGCCCCACTTCCACTTCCACACACCACACTGCGTCACTGCCTCTCCTCTCCAGACCCCAAATGTCAATACCAAAGTATTTCTTACATTCAAATCCACGTGGAGAATGACGATAGGTCTTCTCTACGTGGCTAAGTGGCTTTACTCCTTCACGGTTTTAATTGGCTTCTGAGTCCCGATTCCATTGAGTTTCGGACTTCGCTCACTATCGCGTCTCTCCCCTCTCTATATGTGGTCTGGTTGTTAATTTGTATTTTGCTCGTCACTGGAGATCACCAGACACGAAGCAGACGAAGGTCGAAGGCGATGTTGTTGAAAACTTTGTCGTCCGCCATAGATTTCACAGCATGGAGAGGACTGGTTTTTCCTGTATTCATCCTCCATTTCGTCTTCATCTGCCAATTTCTCCTTCTCCAGCCACTGGTTTCCGCTCAAGGTTACACCTTTTTCTTTTTCCGTGTTTCAATTGCTTTCAAATTTCAACTTTTAGTTGTTTCCTGTGTGATTTTTTCCCTCCAAATCGATTGCTTCATCGTCAAAAATCCAAACTTAACATGATTGATTTACCAAAAAGAAAGAATATTGCACGATTCGATCTCCCTCAGTAGGGGCAGGTTCCCGGGTTTTTTTAGAAGAAGATCAGATATTGCTAAAGTGTACCAGTTCTCTTTGAAATAATTTAACGCATGGCAAAATATTTGGTTTTCGTTTTTATTTTTCCTTTTATTATTGCAAGATAATGTTTGAGTGAACTATGCTGCTCTCGGCTCTCTCCGCATAGGTACGATGGTGTATGGTGTTAGGGTTCTCAAGCATGCTTACATGTTTTGATTTAAACTTGCGATTATGATGGCTTCTTTAATTTTAGTCTAAAATCTTTCCTATTGGAAAGCCTACTTATCTGATCGTATTGGTTAAGCATCTCATTGGATCTGGCATTGTTGAATCTACTATTGCCTTGTATGAATAGGACTTCTACGCAGGGGATAAGAAGAATTCGACCCTTTCCCTCTTTATGTTTTTAACATATGAAACATAAGCAAACTAGTGTAATGACTGAACCTTTCATGTTAAGTCCTTGTGTCATTGTCCGAGCTATTGGGGTCGTTCTACAATAATAATTGAGTTTTCCGGGATGTAAGGGTAGAAGTTTGCAGTTGATGTTAAACTCAAGGTGTCACTAAAATCCCTTGAACTGGCAACATGCTATTTCATTTTCAAGGTTTCATGCAAGAAAGCATTCATCACTTTGTTGAAATATAATTCTAATTAGGTGCAGATGTCCAATTCCAACTGGATATACTGTGGAAAAGCTAAACCCCAAAGCATTACCATGGAATCCAGTATCTGGTAGGGGATTCAGCATAGCATGAAATGATTTGAGCCTTCAATATCGTTTAGGTTCATTTGTATCATGTTTCTTATGTATGTTAAATTTATTACAACTCTCAAACTGTTCTTTGTTTGCTGGCATGCAGATGGAAAACATGGTAATGCTGCAGACTTATTCAAAAGAGTTTCAGAAAGTGTGAAGGTTAAACGTTATAGTGAGGCACTCAATGATCTGAATGCTGCCATAGAGGCTGATCCAACACTCTCAGAAGCATATTTGCATCGTGCATCTATTCTTCGTCAGTTGTGCAGGTTCTTTTATATGAAGATTATATTTACTACTTTCCACAACCTTCATTTTTGAGTCACTAAATAGCAGGCAGGAAACCATTTGATGTCATTAAAGCATAGAATGTTGAGTTCATGCTAGTTTTTGGCAGATGTAGCTAAACACCCTATGTACACATTCTGGTAGTGTTGTTCTAGAACAGTAACCTAAATGCTGGTACAGTTTGTATATTTTGTAAAACAAGATAAGTCCTGTCCTTCATATGCTAATATTCCCTAACCATTAGTTATCAACCATTGAGTATGTAGATAAATAATGAACTACCATTTGTCATAGTTGGGGATGGAGGTTCCTTCACTGACATCTGATGCCTGAGGGAATGGCTTTTGACAAAAATCATGTTTATCTTTCTCGTTAGGAAGCTCTCTCAGTCTCTACTGTAGACACATCACTTACCTTGAAGAATGTTGGAAATCTAGTTAATTTCTTGGATCCATCTCTAACAGATTTTAAGTATGTTAAAACTTTCCATTTATTTTTTATTGTATTAAATGCTGTTTTTTGTGATTGTTTTAAAGAGTAAGGGGGGGATCTTAGATATATTCCCTTTGTTTAAGTGTGAATCTGAACTATGTGTCTTGTTTTACAGATACCGCCTAATATTACTTGGTGCTACCACCAAATTCTAGTTTAAAACTTGTCTGTGATTTCAGTATCTTCAGCAGTTTGAACCAGAAGAGAGTGAAGGAGAAAGAGGAGAAGAAGAAGAAGGAGAAGAATCAGTCGAACTTAGTAGCCTAAACCCTACCAGTCGACCATAATATGGATTAGGGGTTCTAATTAAAGTACAATGACTAAACTGCCCCCACTTAAGTATGGGATAGGAAGTCTACAAGAGTAATATTAGAACTGCCACATAAGCACATAACTTAAACTGAATAAAAAGACTAATCTACCCCTCATTCGGCTAACTCTAACACTCTCCCTCAAGCTGGAGAATATATGTCATATAATCCTAGCTTGTTACATATATAGTTCACTCTCCTTGAGCTTAAACCTTTTGTAAACAAATCTACGCACTGATCACTTGAGCCCACATGTTCTGTGCTTATCTCTCCAATAAGGACTTTCTCCCTCACAAAGTGGCAATCAATCTTTATTCGACTACTTCTTACTCTTCCATGTCACTAGATTTCCTCCAAGGAATGTGCAGTAATCTGTAGTAGATCTTCTATCCAACACTGAGCCTGCTCAATTTGCATCTGTATATCCAACTACCTCAAGTCTTCCTCTTGGTTTGTACAATAATCCACGGTCTGGAGCTTCCTTTAGGTACCTTACAATTCTAAGAACTACATCCCAGTGAGGCATCCGAGGATTCTGCATAAATTGGCTCACCACACCGATTGCAAAGGAGATGTATGGTCTTGTGATAGTTAGATAGTTCAGCTTCCCAACTAACTGTTTGTATCTTCCAAGATCATCAAATATTTCACCTGTATCATTACTCAACTTAGTATTTGGTTCCATGGGAGTTTTAGCTAGTTTCGCACCTAACAGTCCTGTTTCATCCAACAGACAAGGACATATTTTCTTTGGCACAAATTTACACCTTGTTTCGATCTGGCAACTTCTACCCAAGAAATACTTCAACTTCCCAAGGTCTTTTGTTTGAAAATGGTCTTGCGGGAAGGCTTTTATTTTATCAATCCCCAATCTGGCACTGCCAGTTATGACAATATCATCCACATAAACTACTAATAAAATCTTTTTGGCTTCTGAATCATAACTGAACACCGAGTAGTCAACCTGACATTGTTTCATTCCAAAATTCTTCACCACTTCACTACACTTCTCAAACCAAGTATAAGGAGATTGTTTCAACCTATAAATTGCCTTTTTCAATCTAGACACCTTATCAACCTCCCCTTGAGCAACAAACCCAGGTGGTTGCTCCATATATACTTCCTTCATAAGGTCATCATGAAGGAAGGCATTTTTAATATCAAGTTGAAAAAGGGCCAATCATACATAACTGCTAGGGAAATTAAGACACGGACTGAGCCAATCTTTGCCATTGGAATGAAGGTCTCCATATAGTCCACCCCATACAACTGAGAATACCCTTTAGCAGCAAGTCAGGCCTTCAAACGCTCCACACTGCCATCCAAAAAGTATTTAACAGTATACACCCATTTATAACCCACAACATGCTTACTTGGAAGAAGAGTAGTAAGCTCCCACGTGTGAGTATGCTAAAGAGCAAAGAGTTCCTCCTCCATTGCATGATGCCATCCTGGTGAAGTAAGAGCCTCCTGGATATCTTTAGATATAGAGATAGATGACAATAGAAAAACAAACTAGCGATGTGAAGCGAAAAGGTGAGAGATTGAAACAAAATTAGATATGGGATGTAGGGTACAATTACGTTTACCTTTCCGTAAAGCAATGGGAAGATCAAACTCCGAAGGTTCTAGGAAAGGAGCAACAATAAGATCTGCAGACAAGGTAGAAGCCGGAGGAGGTGCCGGTGTCTGTTGATGATTATACACATGCCGGATCGGTGGTCGTTCAGTAGGAATCTACACTGGAGGAGGTGAAGGTTCAGCCCCAACTAGAACAACCTGAACGAAATCACAGACTGGAAGAGGGAGAGGAAGCAAAGGTGGAGATAACGATACTAAAGGTACCGAGAAGAACGGGACAGACTAAAAAAAAGTGACATCAGGACAGACATAGAATTTCCAAGTAATGGAATTGTAACACTTATACCCTTTCTGGGTTCGAGAGTAGCCAAGAAAGGTACACTTAATAGAGCGTGCATCCAGCTTGTCTAACCCAGGACTCAGATTGTGAACAAAGCACACATAGCCAAAGACCCGGAGTGTAAATGGAAAGGGAGACTGACCATGAAGAACAAAGGAGGGCATCCGATTAATAAGGAAACAAGTAGTAAGCACATCATCACTCCAAAATCGTTTAGGAACACTCATATGATGAAGAATAGACCGAGCAGTTTCAAGAGGATGACGGTTTTTTCATTCAACCACCCCATTTTGCTGAGGGGTGGATGCACATGAAGTTTGATGAATGATGCCATGTTGTTCTAAATACTGTTGAAAGGAAGTGAGAAAGTATTCACGACCATTATCTGAATGAAGAACTTTGATTGGAACACCAAATTGTGTACATATTTCAGCATGGAATTTTTGAAAAAATGGAAAATAATTCACTCATTTCTTTCATTAAATAAATCCATGTTATCCTTAAACAATCATCAATTAAAATGATAAAATACTTGTAACCATTATAAGACTCTATTTTAATCGGACCCCAAACATCTGAATGAACTAAAGCAAAAGGACTCAACATACGACTATCAACTCTAGGACTAAAGGAAACTCAATGGTGTTTCCCATATTGACACGACTCACACGTAAAGATGACAAATAACTCAAAGACGGAATTGGTATCTTGAGTGCCTTGAGAGATGGATGTCCCAGCTGACAATGCCATTGTAGAGGAGTGAGGGAAGTTTGAAGTGCAATTAACGAACCACTACTATCAAGATAATGTAATCCACCGGTTTCATGCCCTCCACTAATCTTCTTCCCCATCTTGAGATCCTAAAAAACACAAAATGAAGGGAAAAATGTAATAGAGCAAATAAGGGTCTTAGTTAATTTACTAACTGACATAAGATTGAATGGAAATTTAGGTATATATAGAACAAATGATAAAGAAAGAGAAGCTGTGTCAACATTACCAACACCACAGATGGGAAAAGAGGAACTGTTGGCAAGGGGTAACAATTTGAGATGTGGAAGTTTCAGAGAGAGAAGAGAACACACCTGGAGTTCCGGTCATGTGATCAGAGGCTCCAGAGTTAATAATCCAGGGAGAGGGTTTGGATGCTAGACAAACTATACCTGAGTGTGCAAGAGTGCCTGTATTATGTTGTGAAGTAGCTTGAAGGAACCGTTCATAATCATCGTGCGGTACACTCATCATCTCCTTCTCGGAAAACAGATGTAGATGTGGAAGGTGTGAGATTTGGTTGTTGGTTATCATTGACATCAACCCCACCAGCTACTACATGATTAGCCCATGTAGAAGGTGGGCCATGGAGGTCATAATAGAAATTCACTGAATGTCTTTCCCTGCCACAGTGGGTATACTTCCTAGTAGAGTTACCTTTTCCTTTACCACGGCCTCCCCCTGAGTCATGACCACCACCATGGCCAAATATGGAACCACCACGACCTCCTCAAGATGCATGTCCTCCCCCTCTAGTACCACGTCCACCTCCTCTGGCTACCACAACTACTAATCTGTCAGACAGTGTAGTACTCTTTGTAGATCCCAAAGAAATCCTGCGAAACTGTGCAAATACTTCCTCAAGTGTAGGAAGAGTAGAGCCTCCCAGTATTTGGGCTCTAACTGATATGTACTCTGATTTCAGCCCCACTAAGAACCTAGTGACATCCAGTTGCTACTTCTGTTGTTGCTGAACCTTAACATCTGGAGTGAGGGGATGATAGACATTGAGTTCATTTCTGAGGTTTTTCATACTGGCATAGTACTCTTCTAGGGTTTTATTCCCTTGTTGTAGATCAAAATACTCATGATAGAGCTGATATACCCTCGTAGTATTGTCCTGCCCAGAATAAAGCTTCTTGGCATGTTCCCATGTCCTTAGTTGTATCTAGTCATCAAACCCTGGAGAGTCAACTGATGGTTTATCTTCTTTCACGTGTTTCACTTTCTTCTTTGCCTTGAGAAAAACTTCCACTGACTTGGCTCATGGCACATAATTCTCACCATTAAGTTTAACTGAAGTCATCTGCACACCCAGATAGTCAGAGGGAATCATCACACTAGGTATCTGATCACTACAACCATCTCCAGTTGCTGCCATGATGTCCTCCCAATGCTACTTCTAATGCTGAATCCCCAGTCACCAATCGAGTACTGCTGTCAGGAGCTTGATGTTTCAGGCACTACAACAGTCTCCAAACACAGATAATAGGTTCACAATTAGTCACAATCAATCACCATTATGTAAACTACCATTCAGATTAAGAGCTTGATGTTTCAGATAGGTTTGGCTACCATTTCAGATTAAAAAAAAGGTAAACTAGCATTCAGACAGCAACAAGAAGTCAGAAAATTGATGTAAACAATTCGGCCACTCCTTCCAGCACAAAAACACAGACTTTTGGTCTTGTTCACACCACTACTGAAGTACTGATTACACAGAACCATAAATCACAACGACAGTAACTCAGCAACTCAACTAACCACACACAAACCCTCTTGAAACTTCTCAATAGAGGGTGAACATCACAAACACCACCACGCGCCCATAGCTGTCACACATGGTGACAGCAATATGGAACTGATAGCCTAGGACTGCCGCACCTTCCTAACCACTTGAAATAGGTACTGCGGCAGTCCTAAAAAAAATAAAACTTGCTGCAGTAACTAGACTGAGTACCTCAGATTTTGCAGCCCAGAGAAGAACAACCCAGGAGGAGAAATCGCAGAATATGAACCTTGGTGCCGCAGCCTTCTTCTCCTTCGTTTAGCGCTCTGATACCATGTGATTTCAGTAGCTTCAGCAGTTCAAACCAGAAGAGAGAAGGAGAAAAAGAAGAAGGAGAAGAACATGTCGAACTTAGTAGCCTAAACCCTACCAGTCGACCATAATATGGATTAGGGGTTCTAATTAAAGTACAATGACTAAACTGCCCCCACTTAAGTATGGGACAGGAAGTCTACAAGAGTAATATTAGAACTGCCACATAAGCACATAACTTGAACTGAATAAAAAGACTAATCTACGTTCGTCTAACTCTAACATTATCAATTTCCTGTGCTCAGATTACATAATTTGAAATTTCTGACATGGCGTCTAGTTTGAATGCTATTAGACTTGGCTGACATGTTCCACCAAATGTAAGAACATAGACATTCAAATCACCATAGACTCGGTTTAGTCCATTGTCTAGTTTAAATGCTATTAGACTTGGCTGACATGTTCTACCAAATGTAAGAACACAGGCATTCAAATCACCATAGACTCGGTTTAGTCCATCTCAAACCAAGCTGAATCAACCTGGTCCAACAAGTAATCCAGGTCACCAAGTAATAATCAAGAGCAAATCATAGTTGCTAACAGCTGGCCACCTTGGATGACATGGCAGGGAAGGTTCCAGAAACCTCTCCAATGAACAAAAAGAAAATATAAATGATAGATAATGGAGGAATTAACGGGGGGGGGGGGGATCCCTGACACCACCCACATTTTCCTCAGAAATTCCTTCATTGGTATTCTCTCTTACACCCCTTCCCTTTGAGACTCTCTTGGGAAGCCAATTCTATCTCCCCGACCCATTTTCCCCTCGAGACTTTTGGAGCCAACCACTTTCACCAAAGTCATCAACCTTACACCAAAAAAGGCTGACATGCTTTACATGATACTTTCTAGATCTTCTGTTTCTCATGGATGGTGGTCAAGTTGCTTTTTCTTAGTCTTACATGGACTACAAATGTACCAAATTGTTTGTGTAACTTACAAGTCTAGAAAGCCTTTATTTTTCTTTTATAAAGAGGACTTTCACTGCTTATATTTTGGAGAGTTCTTGGTAAATTTGAACACGTAATTATCTTAGATAGTTCATGGGTTTCTTTCCATCCTTTAGTCAGTTTGGAAACAAGCTTAATTTTCTTTTTACTTCTGATTGGAAGATTATATAATGTAGGCAACTTTTGGATGATGTAGATATGATGAATCAGAGAGGAACTATAAAAAGTTTCTGGAGCTAAAACCTGGAGATCCCGTAGCAGAAAAGGAACATTCTCAATTATTGCAGGCCCAGAATGCACTGGATATGGCTTTTAATCTTTTTGATTCAGGCGATTTTGTAAAATCCTTAGATTATATTGATAAAGTTGTCCTTGTTTTTTCACCTGCATGTTCAAAGGTAAAGTTATCTATTGATCTTTTTTTTTTTCTTTTTACTTTTCGTGCTAAACCTAGGCTCTATATATTGCCAGATTAATTTGGTGAGTGTCATTTATGGCAGGCAAAACTCCTTAAGGTGAAGGTATTGTTAGCAGTTAAAGACTATTCGAGTGCCATTTCAGAGACTGGATATATGCTTAAAGAAGATGAGAATAATCTGGATGCACTACTGCTGCGTGGGCGGGCCTACTATTTCCTAGCTGATCATGATGTCGCTTTAAGGTTTGTGTGGTGATAACTATCCTGTGGAATTCTGTACCCATGGCTAGCCAGCTTCCTTCAGAAATAACATTTATTTACATGGATGGTTTTATTCATTTGCTCCAGGCATTTCCAGAAAGGTCTCCGCCTTGACCCAGAGCATAGTGAATTGAAAAAAACATACTTTGCTTTGAAGAACCTGCTAAAGAAGACAAAAAGTGTAAGTCCTTGGCATTCTATAAATATGTGGCCTATGCCATTTTTGCTCTGTTGTTTTGTAACATTTGACAATGATGCATAGCATTAATGTACCATATACAGGCAGAAGATAATCTGGGTAAGGGTAAACTGCGTTTGGCAGTAGAAGACTTCAAAGGAGCCCTTGCAGTGGACCCTAGTCATATTGCCCATAATGTACATCTTCATCTTGGTTTATGTAAGGTCTTAGTCAAGCTTGGCAGGGGAAAGGATGCTCTGGTTAGTTGCACAGAAGCACTTGATATTGATGAAGAGCTCACTGAAGCTTTGGTTCAGGTTAGTTCTGATTTTAATTTGAGTATCTATATTAATCAGAAACATAACACATGGCCCAAGATTTTTCTTATTCATGTTGGAAGTATAGACTGATATTTATATTTCTTATTTATGCTTATTGTTGTTTTGTTTGGCCATTAGTTTGTCCAAAAGGGTATATTTGTCTATTCAGTTTCATTACTTACTGTTAGTTCTGTTTTAAGTAGGGATATTATTGTAATCTTACTATGGGGGTGTCTTGAGAGATGGGGAAGGAAGAACCCTGGCCTTATTTTCTGGCCCAATAGGCTTGGGGGACTCTCTTAGAGCAGAAGTTTTGTCACTCCTACAGGGGCTCAAACTGGAAAAACAACTGGATTTCCAGCAATTAGAAGTGGAGGGAGGTTCGAACTTCAAAATTGGTAATAGCCTGGATGCAAACAAACAGTTTGGGCACCTGGTCCCTTAGACAACATGTAAGGGAAATTATGCAACTAACAAGGGAGCTTGAAGTCTGTTTTAAATGGACTAGGAGATCAGCCAATGCAATGGCCGATACTTTAGCAAAGCAAGGAGTAGGGAGAACCTTTTTTGGGAGTGTTCGTAATTTTATGTTGAGGGGTCGCCTTGCTTATGAAGGTGATAGTTGTACCAAGTCTTATTAAAGAATTAATGTAAGTTACCGTTTCCCATAAAAATATAGAAGTAAATATAAATTTAGGCTTGGCCAATTGGGAGAGTGACTTTTTCCTTTCAATTTGAAGTCTCTTCTTTTCTCGCAACATGATTGCTATCTTCTTTTCTCTCTCCTTGTTCTTTCACATGGTAAAATAAGATCATTTTCATTTCATAAGCAACAATGAAAAATAGCCCAAGAAACATCAAGATTAGTTTATGTTCTCTTACTATTGTTTTTTTTTTTCTTTTGAGAGAAGATAAGTTGTGTATTGTATTAAAAAGGGCAGCCCAGTGCACGAGGCTCCCATCTATGCAGGGTATGGGAGAGACAGATGTACACAGCCTTACCCCTGTACATAGAGAAGGGTTGTTTCCAAGTTTTAAACCCTAATCACCCAGGTAACAGTGGAGCAACCCATAAATTGTGTATTGTATTAAAAACAGAGAAGAGGGTCGAACCACCCCTACTCAGTGAGCATTTGAGAGAAGATGTTCTCTCCACTGTTATATAAGCCTATTATACGTGATTTTCATTGACATTGCATGGCGCTAACTTCTTTTAGAAGCTTATTTTTTTCAGATAAGATTTAAATTTCAATGATCTAAGTCCAATATCTGGAGATGCTTTCATTTTTTGTTGTCTGGATATCACAAGTTTCTTACACCCAGATAGGAACCAAATATCATTAGGTTTTTAATTAGAGATTATCTTCTGTGGTTCCTGCAGAGTGAAGCCCTTTGCTCATCATGATTCATTATGACCTTGATCAGAATGGGTGCATTGCTTTGAAGAATAGTGATGCTTTCTCTCATTGTTTGCTTGTCTTGCTCACCCGCTGTCTTTGTCAGGCTAGTCCAGTGGATGACAGTGCAGAAACTTTTTTTGAAAAATAGTAATCAAATTTCATTAGATAAAGAGAAGGAAAAGGCTGTAAAGGGAGAGATTTCCTTTACAGCCTGCTACAAGGAAGCATATGAATGCCAACGAAAAAAGAATAATACAAAGAACAACATCAACCAGCAAAGGTATCATCCTACGAAATAGAGCCCTAATGATCAGTCAAATGATTTTACTTTAGTCCCCTAAACATCTTATTGATTGAGGCCCACTTTAGAACGGACCTTTCAACCTTCCCACAGCTTCTCGATGGGCAGGGAGACATCTTCAAAAATTCGGTCATTTCTTTCCCTCCAGATGCACCAACAGATTGCAAAAGGCACCATAGAGATCTCTCCCCTTTCTACTGAAGACTGTAGAAACTGATGCTTCTTTACTGCCACACTACCAGTAAGAAACTCTTTGGAAAATGAAACCTATGTAAAATCCTTGTTTATTCAAAGTAGTAGCAAGATACTTTTGAAAGCTCACTTATTCATTTTTCCAACATCATTTCTATTACCCTAATTCTCACTTTTAAAAGGCCTTCTTTCACCTTTGTCGTTCTTGGAATATCTGTAATTTGGAGTTGGAATTCAGGAAAAAGTACAATTATCCATGTGCAATTTTACTAGGTTACTCTCCTGCAGTGTTTTCAACCTGTCACTGACCCAGCCAGTTGAACCGCTCGAACCATCACCTAGTTAAGATTCCAGGTCCGGTTTGAGTAAAACCTGGAGGGAGGTCAAAAACCGTTGATTTGGTCAAAAAACATCCGACCCAGACAGTTGGACCATTGACCCATTCGACTTGGTGACCGAGTCATGGGTTGCACACTAAATTTTGTATGCAAACTTCGGGAGGCCATAACTTTGCACTCTGATGTCCAATTGAGGTGAATTTTTTTTTTTTTTTTTTTWTTTTGGGTAAGTTTTTGAGATCTATGCGTCCCAAGGAGCTGTATGCGCCTTGCCCTGTTTTTTTCGCAAAAAAAAACCTTTTTTTGGTTTCAAGTTGCAATTTTTAATATTTATTACAAATAAAAAATTTTAAACTGAATTGAAAAACATGAATTAAATATAAAATAATACACATATTACATGCAGACCACAATTATACATTATTTGTTGTTAAAATACATGTTTATAAATATCTACACACACATATATGTTTAAATTTCCATATGGCTGACATGGCATAGTCTGGCCTGTTTGACCTGGACGGTCGAACTGGTGACCCACAACCTGGAGGCAAAAACGTTTTGGCCTCCAGGTTGGTTTTTAAAAACATTTCTCTCCTGCACTGATTAATCATACTTCTCCAAGGAAATTCTTTTCTAGCTCTTCTTACATTAAAGATTCAGAAACTCAAGTTCTTGTTAAAGTTAGATGAGCCTGTCCTATATTACCACTTTTCAATATCTTTGCCCCTTCTATAAATTTTAACTTACTTTTGATCTGACACATCATTTTATAAAATTCTAGTCATTATCAAATGTATAGTTTTCTAATTGTTCATATTAGTGCCCACATTCTACCATAGAGTTTTTAGCATGTACTCTCCACTATTTTTTTGTTAATTCTAGTGGATGATATCTTCATGTTGTGAAGTTAATTGACTGATAAGTTTATATATTATTTTGTTATTAGTGAACTTGACAGATGTTTTGCTGTATCTGGCTATATATGATGAAAAATACCATATTTGTGGCACTTAATCCATCTGATGTGATTTTTTCCTTTTGGTTTTCAGAGGGGAGAAGCTAAGCTTTTAGTTGAAGATTGGGAAGGAGCTGTAAATGATCTGAAAACAGCTGCTCAGAAATCTCCTCAGGTTAATATGCATCTTTTTGAACTGTACTATTTTTCACTGCTTGGGTATATACAGAGGGCATGTAATCAGTATGAAATTATCTTAAGCTTCGGGTCAAAATGGAATTTCAGGTTGGACATTTCTTGTGGCTGAAAGAGGAAACCAAATGTTGTAGAGTAGAAATTTTGATTTTGGAAGGTTGATTTCAATAGCATAAGCATGCATGCTGATTGTTTTAAGACACTTTGATGGAGGGATAATTCAGAGATACTGAATATTTGATAGTTGACCAGTTACAGTTAGTTTATGGTGCATCACCATCCATACTGGTTATTTGACCATATGTGCAATGCAGATTTTGACCCCTCTACCTTCTCTAGTTTTGAACATGGAGTTGGGTCCATTAAACTTTATTTATTTTTTTTTTGAAAAAAGGTATTGTATTGCAAAAGGAAACCCGATACACCAGCCCATGTACAATGAGGACCTGTACATTGGGAATTTACAAAAGATCTGACAGATCAGATAAAAAAAAGGGTCCAGCTTGCCAAAAAGGAATGAGCTGAACTCCAGTGAAAGCTCTTTGTACACCTAACCAGGAACAAAGAAAACCTATAATTTTGTTCTTGACAGAAACTATTGTCATTGGAAAGATTATAAAAAATCCGGCTATTCCTTTCCTTCCAGAGGGCCCAAAGGATAGCAGCTGGAAAGATCTTCCAAAGCAGCTTGCCTCTTGCATTCAGACCTTCAATGGTCCATCTCTGAAGCAGATGAAGGACTGAGGCAGGAAGACAATAAGAAACACCAAAACAGGAGAGGGCCATTTCCTAAAGCTGCTGAGAGAAGTTACAGTGGATAAAAATGTGGTTGGAAGATTCAGGAACTTCCGCACAGAAAGGACAGCAAAGACTAGGAAGCTGCATCCCCCTTCTGACCAGCCGATTTGAACTTTGAAAGATAGTAAAACTCTGGTTATTTTGCATCCAGCAACAACTGAAAATAAGCATACTTATGAAATTAAGTTGTTTTAACTGTAAATATTCTTGAAATTTTCAATCCCATGTTTAGTCCCCCCACCCTCCTAGAAAAAGAAAATGATAGGCTTATTTGTGGAAATATTGTAACTCATCTTTTACTTAAGGACCCAAACTGTCTACTGAAATGTAATGAAATCATAGTATTTGCCAATATGCAGGATATGAATATTCGAGAAGCATTGATGAGGGCGGAGAGATCTTTGAAGCTGAGCAAACGCAAGGACTGGTACAAGATTCTAGGAATATCAAGAACTGCATCTATAGCAGAGATAAAGCGTGCTTACAAGAAGCTTGCTTTACAATGGCATCCAGATAAGAACGTTGATAACAGAGAGGAAGCAGAGGCTAAATTTCGAGAAATAGCTGCTGCATATGAGGTATGAGTAATTATGATGGATTTACTTCTTATAATGCTCTGAAGGAAGTCGCTTTGTATTGTCCTTGTTGTGTCATCAAATGTCTAATGTAGGTAATCTAATTTTCATTAATTAGTTCTGGCTAATTTCTATTCAGTTGTCTAAACAAAGAAGATTTTGATAGCTCTTTTACTTGTATAAGTGTGTGGGTGGGTGTGTATTAATTCTTGTCAATTTCTGCAACTTTTTTTTTTTTTTTTTGATAATTAACAAGGCATCATTTTATTAATATAAACAAAAATGTACAATGTGGATTCAAAGGGGTAAAATTACCAAGAGTACATATATTACAATTGAGCCCAATAAAACTGCATCCTATTAACTCATTGCAGCTAAAGAATCTGCGAACCCATTGGCATCCCTTGAAACCCATTGAAATGTTGCTGTCATTCCCCTTAATAACCATTTGATCTTCTTAACCCCTTCTCAGTGGATCCAAGCTGCCTTCTTTTCATTCTTTAGTCAGCTTACCACCACTTGAGAACCCCTTTCAACCCAGATTTAATTTCTGTAACTTTGTGTGAAGAGTTCTATTTACAAACTCCTTGAGCACTTTTCTTGCTTAACCAAACTTCTTTCACACCAGAAATCATGCATATCAATGATGGCCATTGATTTCTTCTACATCACAACCTTCAGTGTTAGGATTTTAAAACGGGCGGATGTATTTTACTGTCAACTTGTCACAGTCATCTTGTTCATTATAATTTTTATTATTATTTACTTCACTCATTCGGCACTTCTGACTCGACCAGTCTCTTTATTTGCAGGTACTTGGGGACGAAGAAAAACGTGTAAGATATGACAGAGGCGAAGACGTTGAGGACATGGGTATGGGAATGGGTGGTGGTGGTGGTTTCAACCCCTTTGGTGGCGGGGGACAGCAGTTTACATTCCATTTTGAAGGAGGCTTCCCTGGCGGATTTGGTGGATTCCAATTTTGATCCCAATTGAGGGAGGGAGCAGCTTATTGCAAGTGGCAGCAATGAATGTTTCTCACTGACTGCTAACAGGTATAGTTGATAGAGAACACAGACAATTGGAAAGAGGCTCGTTTCTTTATAAACACTGCACGGCATACCCTTGGCTTGTAATTTGTATGCGTAGGTGATTCCAATAGATGAGCCCCCTTAATTTTGTTTCTTTATTTTTAAATTTCTTTTATTGTTTCTGCTTTTCAATTCTATAGGGGGCCATAAAGAAGGAAATTCTCTATTTTTCATTAGAATTAATTATATGCTGTTCTGTTGGCAAACAAATAAGCTACCAGCGTTTCCTTCGTCTTTTCCTCATCCAGCCAAAAAGACGACTTTTGACATTGTTTTGGTCGTAAACAAAACAGAAGCAGTCGAAGACAGTACGTTCAGTGTCTTTATCATAATCGACTTCCCTAGATGGATAAAGTGAGAATGTTGATGAACATTAGTTGATTAATCCCAGCATAGAGAGAAAGCATGGCAACGGGGTTGCCTATATGCACCATTTTTGCAGTTGGCTTCTTCCCAGAGATGAATATGGCCATGACAATTTCTATTGAATTATTATCAGTGTTTGACCCGGATAGTTGGACTGTTCATCCTGGGAGCCATCCAGGCAATCAGTTCCGTTTTACCCTTAACTTGGTCCGCAATCTGTTGATTTGAGTGATTAAATTGTTGATTCATTTAACTTGGATAACAATTTATGGCTGTTTTTTATTTTATTTTATTTTTAAAATTCGATTGGGCTGAACTGTTGACTTAGAAACCGGTGGTCAAAATGAACTGAATATTAATGTCGTGATTGAAGCGAGGGAGCATTGCTTCAGAAAAGCTAAAAACCACCGGTATGAGTTCAAGTCTCCCTCAATCATCTTGATGATTCTGCATCATTTCTTATATATATTTACCTATCTTACTTTCTCCGAACACCTATCCTACACTTTTATAAATAATTTTGTTTTACTTTTTTTTTTAAGAATTAAATTAAAAATAAATAATGAAGCCGGGCACTTTGAGGAGTGCAGAATTGATGTGTTGATTTGCTTTTTTACAGTGTGGTGTACAGCAATTTTATGTGCAGACTCCAGATTTGCTATCCACAAAGAGTCTGGATCAGGTAGGCATGTCGTTGTAAGCACATTAAATAAACACTTTCAAATTTTTTTAACACACCTGTCCCTTGAAATATCAAATATCCCCAACCTACCCTTGAAGACAACTTTTAAAAGTTGCCAGAATATATTCACTGAATGTGCTTCTATTGTTGCAATTAGCTAGCTAGGTCATATTGAAAATATGGCTTAAACTCTTTGATTTATTCATGGGCTGGCTGAACTTTTTTATTGTGAGCAAAAGGATATCCAATTCCAATTTTATGCTTCCCTCCAGACCCCTTTTATTTTGCATGCATCAATACCGTCGGTTAATCTTACGTTTGGGTAAGCTTCAGGAACATTTGTGCTTTTTAAGCCTAAAAGCATAAAAAGCTTAATTTCAGACCAGAAGGTTATGTTTGGTTTGAAGGAAAAAGTAGGGAAAGGAAAGGAAAGGAAAGGAAACCTTTACAAATCTTGTATAGGTTTCCCTGCATTTCCCTTCTTTTCCTTACTCTTTCCTTCAAATCAAGGTTTAAAGTATCGACACGTATTGGTTGATACGTATCATTTTGAGACTCCTTTGATACGCCCCTACAGTGGGTGTATCGGAGGTCTGACCGGTTCAGGGGGTAGAGGAGACTTAAACCGGCCCCTGAACCAGTTGTGAAAAAAAAATAAAAAAAACGTCTCCAAAATGTGTATCGATTCACCCGATACGCCCCTATCAGTGTATCGGGCATATATTTTGAACGTTGCTTCAAACCAAACATAGCGGAAGTGTTTTGGTTTAGATTAAATATTTTTAAAATCAATTTTTCTATATCATTCCTTTCTTTTATTTTCATGGACATACAAACAATGCAAAAAATTCAAATGGACCAAAAAGTCAAAAACTACAAGCTTTTGACAAAAATTCTCAAAAGAAATAAGAAAAGAAAAATGGGCCTAAACCCATTAGGTCACAGCATACCTGTCCTCAACACAGAATGGCGTTGCACGGTGAACACAAAGGAGACAAGAAACTGTGAGAGAGAGAGATGACGAATTATTTAAAACCTCTCACAGCATAGGTCACAATCGATCTGGTTCAGTGAGATCAAGCCAGAACCTACCCGCCATTCTCATTAGTTGGTGCAGCACTGGTTCATCACCTCCCCTCACTATCATGAATTGATTGTACGTGGTCATAAAGAAAATCCTGCAAACGCAAATGACACAACAAGACGCCGGGTGAGAGCCATTGCACCAGAAGAATCAACTGGAGCATCAACTGATGATGAAGAGCCACTGGGAGCATCCGACGAAGATGAAGGCGAATCCTTCTTGGGCTTGGACGGTGCAGGAGCTGGCGATGGTGGACCAAACATCTCTAAGGGAAGGAGAACCTGGTCCACCTGATAGATAGCTAGCTGGTTATCGGTGTAGATTGAATTGGCGATGGTGGTATTGACGACACCAGTGGTTATGTTCACCTGATTTCCAGCCGTGGTGACGTCGAGAGGAAACTGACCGTTGTTGCTGTTTCCTGCTTGGGTGCGCAATGGGTTACTGGCCGTCTGGAATTGTGACATGGAGATAAAAGATGGGAGCACATGGAATTGCACCAACTGGACCTTCTGCTGATCGGTGAGGGAGTTGAGGGTACCCGACTTGAGGCTAGCAAAGGCATTGTCAGTGGGTGCAAAGAGAGTAGACCCTGCAGGTTGGAATTATTGAGCTGGGTATTGATCTGGTCGCTCACTTGGGTACTCTTCAGAAGCCGGATTAGAGTAGTGAACCGGCCTGCCTTTTCGAGGATGGCTGTGATATTGGTTGGACCGGAGGGTACGGGCGCTGGGGCTTGAGCTGAGGTGGTTGTGGTGCAATTTATGATGAGGGTGAGGATGATCAGTAGAAGAAAACAATGGAAGGGAAGCTGCTTCATCATATTTCTAGTAGTCACTTTGAATCTATTGAGGTTGATCTCTCTTGGGGTTGCTAGCTAGCTTTAGAGGAAGTTAATAATAATAAAAAAAAAAAAACAGAAGCCTTAATTAATTGCTTCTGAACTGAAGGTACTGGAAAGAAAGAGAGGGCTTCTTTATAAGACGAGGTTGTGAGGTGGTGAAGTAAGAAAAGTTGGGTATAAGGTGCTATCCAAGTTGGCCTCACCTTACTTTACATCTCATCTGTCTTGAGAGAGAGAGAGAGTTGCAGCTAATATTTTGCTTAGAAAGGCAGGAATATGGAGTAATACAGGTTGGAGGAATCTGTGATTCATATAATAGTCTTTTGGTTGCTTTCCTTTCACTTATTTTTCCGGGGAAAAAATATATTAATTTGCTTGCAACAAAATTAAGGAAGAAGCTTCTACTTCCACTGTTCCAAAGGAACCCTCTCGATCAATGTGAATCACCGAATCGCCTTCTTTTCATTTTCTGTGGGGTGGTTATTGCATCTATTTTGGCAACAATCTTTTCTCTTGGTCATCTTGCAAACATGCTACTGTCTCACACTCCAGCACTGAAGTAGAGTATCGTAGTCTTGCACTCGCAACTTCTGAATCTCTCTGGATTCTCTCTCTCCTCTACCAGCTTGGCTTCTCTCTTTCACGCTCTCTTACATTGGGGCCACTTACCTCAGTGCCAATCCTATTTTTCAGGCCAGGACTAAGTATATCGAAATTGACTTCCACTTTATTCGAGAGCAGGTTGCCAAAGATACACTTCATGTTCAATAAATCCCCGCTCATGACCAAATAACTAACATCTTCACCAAGCCATTAAGCAGACCTCGTTTCCAGCAGCTCCGAAGCAAGGTATGCATTACATCACCCCATGCATCGCTTGAGGGGGGGGGGGGGGGTCGGACCACACCAGAACCACACAACAAACCTCCGTGATTCTTGCGATAAGCCTTCATGCAATAAGTGTATCACATTCTCTTCAATCTAAGTGTATCGTTTCAATTTGTATTGATTAATGCTAGTTTGTGAAATCACTGTTCATTCTTAAGAAATGAAATGAAGTGTGAATCACACACAACCCCGTCCTCATAGATGGGTTCAGGTTTCTCCCTTTTAGTGTATAAAACTTGCTTTTCCACACCAGAAGTAGGATCATTATAAACCATTTATAAGGATGTATATAAAATTTCCTGTATGGCACAGGCCCCCGGTAGTTGAAATATAAAAAGATGAATCAAACTCTACTCTATTTTAAAAGACCAAAATAATCTTTCAACCAGATGTACCGCTCGCACCACTAGTATATTGCACGTTAGTTTACATACGGCCCATTTGTCATATCATGGAGAGCTCGCAAATATGTGAATCTGATCCCACACTTCCACTAGCCGTATAAGAAGGATACCAAGTATGGTCTTTGGTTTGGTGCTATATATATATAGAACTCGCGTTAACGTTTGTGATTTTTGTGGTGCCCTCAAAACCTCTGCTATATGTTAATATTTGAGGCTCGGGAGACTATAGATGTACTCCATGTTGGATATGAGCTACATATGTTAATGCCATAAAAGTATGTTATATACTTATATTTACTCTATTGATTCATATTTCTATGAATGCAACATAAAAATGGGAGAATATGGTTTTATTGTACTTCATCATCTAAGCTTTGCCCAAATGATATTAGGTCGGTTAAATCATTTCCCACTACTTCAGCCAATGCCATTTTTGGTCTACCTCAAGTTTTGTTTTTGTCCCTTGTAATAAAATACTTTTTCTCTTGTAAATCTTTGCATTCTGCTTAGAGCTGTTCCTAAATTTCCTTCAATTTCATTTGTGATTCTATCCTTTTTTGATTTTTCTATTTATCTATTTTAATGTTCACATTTTTGTTACACTTTTTTTGACTGCCCAATACTCTACTCCATATAAAGTTGTTGCCTTATAATTGTTTCTTAAAACTTTCCTTTTAGAAAGTGTTTGTATTTTGGATTCTGAGAAGGGGGAAGTTGGTTAACGGAATTTTGGTTCCCATTGACCAAAAAACTCATGTTCTTTTTTCAGATTTATGCGGAGACTAAGGAAAATTTATTTTCCTGGGTATTTCACCTCTCAAGTGGGTAAATAACTTTCCCACATGGGAAGAAGTTTACCAACACTTAAATGGGACAAAAAACTAACGAGGCCTTGATAGAAAATAAAAGAGCATAGATAAATAACTTACCAAAAAACTAATGGGGCCTTAGTAGGAATAGTATATGGCCCAAGGATCTACACATATCCTTTCATTTTGTCCATCCTGCTCTAATTTTCTAATTTTATGAGTGGCATCCTTTTCAATCTCTCCTTGTGGATTATGAAACCAAGATAACAGAAAAGGTTATTTTGAAACTTACATTGATGTTTTTCTTTTAAAATAGCTTTTGAATGTTAAAAGATTTTTTTTCCAAATATCATAATATCATGTGTATATTAAATTATTAATGTTATTGATAAAAAAATTAAATTATTAATGTTTTAAAACATCCAAGTTGTGGGGTTGGTTTAATTTATATTTTTATTTCAGTTTTTAATTTTTAAAATAAAAGGCTAAAAATTAAATACATTCTAAATCGTTAGATACATTCCCCTAACAAGACGAGATGATGACATCATTCTTTTCTATATCTCTGAAATTGGAAGAGATACATTCTAAATCCTTAGATACATGTTATATGACAGATGACTGAATTATTATCGGAGTGCCTTAAATGGTGGAATCCCAAGAGTTATAAGATTTTGGCCACATTTCACATGATGGACGGCCAAATGTGAAACTGCATTGATGGTGGAATTTCAAGGAATCCATATCTTTGACATAAGCAATTATATTCTGAATATCTTGGCCACATGTCATATATGATGAATTGTTAAAAGTGTTGGTACCTTGATAGAGGAATCATATGGCAGTAATGAAGCCACGTGTCTGGTATGTTCGATCATATCTCCTTGTGCATTAAAATATAGAGGGTCACTAAAGTATAAGCATGGGGAGTTGGTCATCAAGTGATGGAGTGTGAACAACCTCCTAAGAAATTTCCATGTGGGATGGGAGGTTAGGTTAGTTCCAAAGATGTTTGCCTAAAAGCCCATGCCACTTTGTTCTATATAGGCTCCCTTTTATGGACAAGTCTTAAATTTCAAAATTTCCAACCCAATGTTATTATAAGGATTCAGGACAACACATGGCAAGTGCCTACCTAGAAGGTTATTCTAAGTGCCCGTTTGGGAGGGTTTTCATGCAGCGGTTTCGGACATTACATGAGCTGGGAAACATGGAAAGCCATTGAACCATGTTTGGTAAAAAAGCCTGAAAACCAAAAATAAGCTTACATTAACCAAAAAAATCAGTCAATGCAGAAGCCGCTCCCAAATGGGCCATAAATAGCAGTGCAACTGTCAACCGTGCAAGATGCATTCGTTAGGGACAAGAGGATATAAACTTTGTATCTTAGGCATTTTTCAAATGATAAACACACGCCTTGTTCAATGGTTGTTTGGGTGATGGAGCCAGGGCCTTAGGCTGCGTTTGGAAATAATGCAAATAACTGTGAATGCAAATATGTGGAGTGTAAAACGGTTCATATAAATTGTAAAATTGTGTTAGTTTTTACTTTCTTACCAAACAGATTTTTAGTTGTAATGGATGCAAACATGAATTTCAATAGAACATATGTTTTTTTTTCTTATCAAAAGCCCACTTGAATGCAAATTTACTTCCTTTTTATTGATGTATTTTTACATCTTATTATCAATGTAAATATGCATTGGTCTATCATTTGTCAATGCATAAATGTAATATTGCCAAACACAGGCAAAAATAAACCAGAGTACAAATTTACCCTGAACCAGGATTTACACTCCATTTGCATCGTTTCCAAGTGCAGCCTTAACAGGTTTTTGCCACTGGCCCAGCCACACCTAGGCTCAGACTCAGCCCAGCCCTAGCTCGGGGATGGGCCGGGGCCGCCGGGCCAGCTATTACCACTTCCAAGTTCCGAGAGCCTCTGGGCTCTGGCTCTAATTGACACAATGTCGATGTTCCACGATCCGCTTATCCGCATGGTGCGTTTGTAAAGGTTACGACAGTACGAGAAAAAAAATTCGTTTCGTTAGCATTGCTCATGTGAAATTCCCATTTTATACACCACTGAACTGATGTGCTAACCTTGGAGCTGAGATGGGAGATTAACTCGTTGGGGAACGGGAATCCTTTTGATCAAAATTCCGATCAGAAGGCTAAAAACTGAAGAACCAAACTAAGATTCCTAACCGAATCGAGAGATCAGAGATGGGATGGATGATTCGTTCCGGCATCCGTCTACGTGTGTCCGATGGTAGTTGTGCAAAGTATGATGCATCTATTAGTATAAGTAAAATCAACGTCAGGGATCTTCCGAGTCCGTGTTGGCCGCTCACAATTGCGACTGAAAAAGAAGAAAGAAGAAGAAGAAGAAGAAGAAGAAGAAGAAAGAAAGAAAGGAAAGAAACAGTGAGAAAGAGAAGAGAGAGGAGGACGAAAGTTTAGACGCTCATTACTAGCTCCCCCGTTGATCTTCGACTAAAGCTATTTTCAGTGTTTGATGAATTGGGGTTTACAGAGTCAGAGCTCTTGATATGGTCATTGCCTAAAAGCAACAGAAAAAGAGGGAGGACGAAGAAGAGTGGCAGGAGTAGCTAGCGTCCAGGAACTGAGAGCGAGGAGAAAAGTGATTCCATTGTCATGAACCCATGATCTCATGCGTCGCAAACAATTGTTGCGGGTATGATCAACAACAGCAGCAACGGTATGATGTCTTCATCATCGGCAAACGCTCAATCGCCGGGGCTGAAGACCTACTTCAAGACCCCAGAAGGCCGTTACAAACTTCAATACGAGAAGACTCATCCCGCCGGTCTCCTTCACTATGCACACAGCAAAGCTGCTACTCAGGTGGGTATTCTAAGGTTTTCTCGTTTGTTTCCCTCTCTTTATTTATCGGAATTGATGCCCATATCCATATTGAATTATCCATCCATCTGTTCAGGTAACCCTTGCGCATCTCAAGGATAAACCGGCGCCGGTTCCGTCAGCACCGACCTCGAGCCTGAGCAGCGGCAGCGCAGTGAGATCAGCAGCGGCCAGACTTTTAGGCGGGAATGGCAGCCGGACACTTAGTTTTGTTGGAGGAAATGGTTCTAGTAAAGGCATTACAGGAACTAGTAGAATTGGTTCATTGGGAGCTTCCAGTACGAGTAATCCACCGGCCCTTTCGAATTATGACGGCAAAGGGACTTACCTGATTTTTAATGTCAGTGATACCATTTTCATTAGTGACTTGAATTCTCCAGACAAGGTAATTTTCTTGTATTTCTTTTTTAGTTTCTTCTGGATATCCATTTTTTTTCTAATCAATCTTTTAATAGAATTATGCATATGGGTTGTAGGATCCTATAAAATCTATCCATTTCAGCAATTCGAACCCTGTTTGCCATGCTTTTGATCCCGAAGCTAAGGATGGGCATGACTTACTTGTTGGGTTGAACTCTGGAGACGGTAAATTGTTTTAGATATTTTGGTTAGTAAATTGTTTAGATTTGAAGCTTGATAAATGATTTGTTTTCTTGTCTTTTTGAGGTTTCCACTACATGTCTCGTCTTATTTTTGGTGTTTGTGCATTTTGCAGTGTATTCGGTGTCACTGAGACAGCAATTGCAAGATGTTGGAAAGAAGCTTGTTGGGGCCCAACATTACAATAAAGATGGTTCGGTAAATAACAGGCAAGACCTTTAACTCCAAATTCGTTTCATTCTTATATGTTAAAACCGTTATTCTTTTAGATGTTAACAGTGTTTAATTTTGTTAAGTTAACTGGCACACCTAATGCCCTTTATGTTGTTATGTCGCATTTTAAACTTGATGGAATAACTGCCAAGGACTTTTGTACTATTTTGCTTTTACTTCAACTTGTTTTATATGTGACCATTTGTCAATCTTTATGAGGAATTGTTAAACTATGATCAGCTTTTCACCCAAGCAGCACTATGATGAACTTTAGTGGGACTCTTCTTAAGTGAAACTTGGATTTTACATCTTAAAGGTTGGGGTTATTATTGGGGTGAAACACCTTCTGTATAGGATGTTGTAGAAGTAAGAGGAAAAAAAATCAAAAGGAGAGAGAGATGGAAGTGGAAGATAGGGAGCTAGGGAGCTTTCACTACTTTGAATAAGCATGATGAAGGCCGAGTTTGAATTAACTTTAATCTGAGGTTTACTTAGGGAAAAATCTCCAAGTGGATCCAATAGGTTATGAATCTTAACATCATATTAGTGTTGAGTAACTAATCTGAATATTCAAGTATGGATCAATGGATCATGGTTAGAAATTTAATTCTTGCAGATAGAAATATGGCCCAAGCATATGGAGTGGCATCCTCAAAAATTCATTGGATTTCAATAGACATATATTTGAAGTGGCAGAGGGTGATCAACTGTTGTTTCAGATAATATTTGGTGTGAAATTCTCCCCAACAAGAAGGATTTCCCAATTTAGATATTTTAGCAAGCAGTCACAAGGCAAATGTTAGGAGGTATTATTAAATTTTTTTTTTATGAGGTGGTTTAGAACCCTTTATGTTAATGACATGAAAGTCAACTTCTTAGTCAACATACTTGATAGACTACAAGGCAGTGTTGTGTTGGTGTCTTGAATTCCAGTTATGAATTTGCTCCATGACCTGACCCAACAAAGTTGAGGAAAACCCCAAAGGCAAAATGTATGGACTCGCTAGTCATCTGGTCTCAGAACTTATATGGATTCACTAGTCAACCAGTCTTGCACCTCATATGGACTTACTAGTCATCTGATCTCACAGCTCATCTTGCTAGTCATATAGTCTCATAGTAGCCTGGAATCGCAGGTCAGACTTGCAAGTAGGACTCCTAGGTTCCAGTCTCGCTAGACTCTAGACTCATAGCAAGATCTTGTGGGACTCATGAGATATGTTTTTCAGCAGTTTTGCGGGGCCAACCCAATTTAGGGGTTTATCATACAAATAGCCTTGTACTTTGCATATTGGGTGCCGAGAAAAGAGAACGGGAGAGTGTGTAAGATACAGGAAGAGGGAACCTTAGGTGTATTGGGAGCTGGGGCTTTGGTGAGAAGGTTGTGAACACTAATTGTAATCTCCATTGTTTGATAGTGGATTTCTTCTCCTCCGACGCTCATGGACGTAGTATATAAGCAGAACCATGTAAATCTCTGTTTGTGCTTTGTGTTGCTCTGTTTTATGCTTCCTTCTAGTTTCTCTACTTGCCAATTGTTTATCTTGTTCCTGGGTTTATTAGCATCACAGCTGCAATATTATTGTGGGTCACAAGGACAAAAGAATTTAGAAAGAGGATGCCCGATCTTGAAGCAAAGGAGGTTGCAATACTTATTTGTGCTATTTAATGATAGTGAGGAGTCTAATTCCTATTTCTTACTCATTACTCATTATTTTGAAGAATTCGACCCACTTCATCACTTTTTTTTGAAATTATCAAAGTTCAATGGTGCTTTGGATAATATCACTACACTAATCTTTTTTTTTGATCAATACTATCACTACACTAATCTTGTCCAATCTTGGTGGGTAAAGGATTTTACTATATGGAACCTAAAATCCATTTGCTATATGCTGGAGCATTTTGAAGGAAAGAAAGAGGAGAGTGTTTGAAAGGACAAGCAATATTGATCAAAAAAAGGACAAGCAACTTGGAGTGTCATTTACTAAGGAAGGTTGAGCTGAAACATAAATAAGACAAATAGGCCCACTAACACACAGCCTAATCGATGCAACAATAACAATTCAAAGGAAGATCTCCTAGCTCAGTCTAGTAATGGTTTAGCTTTGATAAGGTTATCAAAACCATTAACAACCCTTGCAAAAATGGGTGGTTGGTGCTTAGTGATTGTGGTGAATGGAGGCACCAGCTTACAATTTCTTTGGTTTTCTTTTCCCCCTTTCCTGGCCTACTAATCATCTTTGAGATGACCTTATCTACATCTTTTCCTCAATGTAAACACCATTTCAAGTCTACTATCCCGTCACTAATTCACATTTGTAACACTGGTAATATTATTAACCCTTTTATTGACATTGTCTATGATATGGAAAGCTTTTAAATACCTTGAATTATAGTTTTAAGATTGATATTGACTACTATTTTTCAACAGTCGATGCACTGGTGTTGCATGGGTACCTGATGGCGATGGAGCTTTTGTTGTTGCTCATGCTGATGGAAACTTATATGTCTATGAAAAGGTAATACTTAAGTGTCAATTGAAACCCCAGTTTAAAAACTGTGTTTTTCTGACTTTTGGTGCTGAATGCCATTATTTGTTTTAGAATAAGGATGGTACTGGTGATTCTTCATTCCCTGTTATCAAGGACCAAACACAATTTTCGGTTGCACATGCCCGATCAAGTAAGGTAATCTTGACATTAAGTTTTCAGAAGATAATGAATTTCTGTTATACTGAAAATTAGAAGAGACTGTATGTGAGAGGATGTAAATGGTGTACGGAAGCATGACTATGCAATCCAATCCTCTAACAAAAAGTATGATTGAACTTCTTACTGGCATTCTGATTCCTTTTGTCTATGTTCAATTTATGCAAAGAGATGCTGTCCTAGTTCTGTTTCAGATAAAATAGTAATCTCTGGAGATAGACAAGAAGAATTTGCTGTTGAAATAACTATACAAGATTGAAAAGCTATTAACGATCATGAACTGCATAATTAACACTATATTTAGTTCGTCTATGGAATATGGATATTTATTATTTGGAGTGGATATTAATTTATGTAGTTGAACCCTTTTAAGCAGGTTCTATATTGGGCAATTATAGGCCACAATAAAACTCAACTTTCAAGAGAAAAGTTTTGATTTATGGTGCCAACCAGATGGTTGGTAAGGTCTCCTGTTGGTCATAGCGGAGACTTGGGATCGAATCCTGCCTGTACCTGGGTTGGGGGATGGGCTACCCCCCGTTGTGTAGCCCTTAAGAAGATATCAAAAAAAAAAAAAAAGAGGAAGGTTTTGATTTCCAAGCGAGGTTTTGAGACACCTCGATTGCAGAGAAGATGCATGGGTTGAAGTAGTGAAATGCGTAAAAAACAACCCTCTTTTTAACCTATTGAAGTCAGTGTTGCTGTTGCATGAGCATGGCATGGAAATCAGAACCCAATGTGCATCTGGGAGTTTGACTTGACAAGAAAAAACAAGGACTCAGGATGCATCTATAGAAAGTATAAACCATTAAAATAGTCCATGTTTCAAATTCTAAACATTATATACCTATACTAAAAGGTAAAAAATTTTATCTTTGTTACTTAATAATGATTTCTGAAAAATGACATTCATTGCGTATATTAGCTATTCATTTATGTCTAATAATAAGAATATTGATAAGGGAAATGTTATGTTGAAGAGTCCAAGAAGAATCTATGGAGCGTCAGTATCTGATGCATATCAAACAAGGACACTTCATACACTTAGAAGAGTCCATGCAACACTGATATAGCAATTGCAAGTGGATAGATCATTTTTCCATTTGTTATTTTATTGGGGAGAGGGAAGTCTAGACAAGGAGGATTTAGGGGAAGAGTAGTAAATCTAATCCTTGAAAATATGACAGCCTTGGTCTTAGAAAAGAAATTGAGAGGGAAGGGGTAGAGCACTTTGAACATCAAGTACAAGACAACACCCAGGTAAATTCAGTTCAGTCATTCCGGAGAGAACTGATTCTCTTGAACAAGTTGGAGATAAGAGAAGAAAGGAAAAAAGATAGTTGAAAGGAAAGAGGGAGAAACAAAAGTCTACAGGAAAGGGGGAAAGCATACGAAAAGAAAGAAGAGTGAGATAGAAAAGATCCATTGTGGAATGGTCTGTGAAAAGGAAAGGAGAAAAGGGGGGTCTTAAGAAAAAGAAATTTTAGTTGGGGCCTTTAAATTGACTCAATGAAGATTAAGTTGGAATGTGAGAGGTTTAGGAAGTGCCAAGAAGAGAAGGATAAAATAAGGAGTGTTATTAGGAAGGAAAAACCAGATGTGATGTAGATCCAAGATGGATTAGAAGCATTCGGTGAGCTAGGGGACTAAGCTTGTCCTATGTCCCCACTCCCCTCTTGGGGAGCTTCAGGGGGCATTCTAACAATCTGGAGGAATGAAGAATTAGAATGTGTGGAGGAACTGGTGGTCCAATTCTCAGTCTCTTTAAAAGACAAAAGATCCTCTGATGGAAGAGAATGGACTTTAACTAATGTCTATGGTCCTAATTCCTATAGAGATAGAAACTTGTTTTGGGAGGAGCTTTTTGCAACAAGAGGTTTATGGGAGGGCCCTTGGTGTCTAGGAGGTGACTTTATTCAAGAAAAACCATCACCTAGGCGACTAGGCAACAATTAATAGTGAAAGATTGGTTTTATTCAAAAAAAAACGAAAAAGAAAAACCCATCACCTAACCTAGCCTTGACACTTGGGAAACTATGCTTCTAGGGCCCACTGCCTTACTTTTTTTTTTTGATGAGTAATAGTAAACTTTTTATTAATTCAGAAAGTGATTTAGAATTGTAATTTCGTACAACATCCCATGGAGAGGTGCAAGCTGCAGCCCCTCCTAGAAGCTTACAAGTAAACTAGGAATAAATTATAGAAGTCACAGCTGAGCCCAAAACAGTTCTTCCCTATTTACCCCTTGTTTGGCTAACACATCAGCCAAAGCATTTGCTGATCTCCCCACCCACTGTATAGAAACCAACATATTCCTTGTCAGCCAATTAAATTTCTTAATTTCATTCTTGTAGCACCATATAGCATCCTCAGGGTTTTTTAACCAGCCCACCACCACCTAAGAATCCCCTTCATTTATCAAATGCTCTACCCCAATTGGTTTGTGTAGAGATGTAGAACAATAATGTGGTCCCCACTACTGTTTGTCTATTTATGCTACTTAGTGGTAGTTGGTAGTTGGTAGTTATTTTCTGTTTCTATTATTTCTTAGCTTATGTAAGCAGTAGGGGTAATTCTGATTTTTTACCCTATTTAAACTATTAATATAAATAGCTGAGTGGGGCATCAATCTTAGTTATGACCCACACTCTTTTTGACTTTCTTCTCTTCTTCTTCTCTTCTTCTCAACTTTCTTTCTTGTTTATTTTACATTACAACTAGGACTGATTGCAGTCTTACTAGACAAGTTTGTATCAGAGCCAACCTAGGGCTTCTCATGTGAGTCTAATCAGGCCGACTACATGAGAACTTCCTAGGGTTGGAAGTTTTAGCAGAGATAAGTCAATCGGCTAGTTCTTGGAGATTGCTGGCAGAGTGCAGCAGATGCCCAAGGGATCATAGAGCCTTGGAAGGTGTCCAGTGATCAGGAAGAATTAGAGGAAAGGAAGAAAGTTCAGTGGTTTGGAGGTGGTGGCCAGACTTTTCTGAGTGAGTTTGTGTTTGTTTTTGAGATCGACTTCAACCAAAGTCTGCTTTGAATAATCTGAAAGATGCGGCTGGGAGTTTTCTATTTTCTCCTGATTTTTTAGGGTTTTCTCTTGACCTACGTCCAGTTCTCAGTTTTAAACCCTAAATTTATGACTGTTGTCAATTCCTGGGTAATAGTTAGACGTGCTACAGTATTTCAGACTGAGTAATATTGGTTTCTGGGAGACTATTAGACCTGTTCCAATATTTCTAGGTGATAGCCGAACCTATTTCATCCTTCTAGGTCGGCTGTTAGCAAGTTCTGGGTGCAATTACACCTGTTTCAGCACTAAAATGGTTTCTTGTTGATCAATCTCTTGAAAGAGATGGCAGGAATGGAGTTTAAGAATCAAGGTGGAAGTGTTTTGGGGGCTGGTGGTTCTGGTAACATGACTGAGAACACATTTCATATTTCCACTGTCAAATTTGATGGATCAAATTACTTGGAATGGGCTTAGTCAGCCATGATGGCTATTGGGGGTAGAGGAAAACTGAGCTATCTGTTGGGGGATGTGAAGGAACCAACCAAGGAGGACCCAACCTATGCCAAATGGGTTCAGGAGAACTATTTGGTTATGACTTGTCTGTGCAACTCCATGCAGCCTCACATTAGCCAAAATTACTTGTGGACAAAAACTGTTAAGGAGATTTGGGACATTATGAAAGAAACCTACTCTCAACCACTTAATGTTGCTAGGGCCTATGAGCTGAAATGTGGAGTAAGCAACCTTAAGAAAAGAGATAAACCAGTTTCAATTTTCTTCTCCACTTTGAAATATTTGTGGCATGAAATTGATCATTTAGAGACAATTGAGTGGGAAAGTCAGCGGGATGCACAAACTTACAAAAAACAAGTTGAAACCAATAAGGTTTTTGAATTCCTAGCCGGTCTGAATTCTAAATATGATATTGTGAGACAACTCACTAGAGAAAGTGTGACCTTGTCACAAGCTTACTCTTTAGTGCACAATAAAGAAAGTAGGAGAAAGGTTATGTTGCAACATCAACCATTGGAATCGGCCTTAGCAGCAGTGAAAGTGTGAAACCAAAGTTTGGGGGTGACAAGGAGAGGGATATGAATAAAGAAGATAAGAGGGAGCTAGTGTGTGAACATTACAAGAAACCAAAGCATACTAAAGACACATGTTGGAAGTTACATCCACATCTAGTTCTAACAAAGCTCAGAAACAAAAGGGGAAATGCCATTGTGGTTGTTACTACTGATGGTGCACCCTCATCTAGCACAAGAGCCACATCCCTAGACACCTTAGCTGTTGTCTGGTCTGCTCTGACTCGGTTGGAGAGTGAAGTTGGCAATTCAGCATCCTTATCTCAGCCACTAGTTACAACATCTGCTACTCCCACTTCAGCATTTGCTCATTCAGGTACACAGGCTTCAGCATATCATGCCTCAGCCCCAAGTAACACTGAACCTTGTTGGGTGATAGATTCAGGTGCATCTGACCATGTGATTGACTTGTTCTCACTGTTTACTACTTATCACATATTCTCAGGTAGAGACAAAATGTGTATTGTTGATGGCTCCCTTGTTCCCATTTCTGACAAGGGAGGATATATTAAATTGTCTAATGCCATCTCTTTGTCCTCAATTTTACATGTTCCTAAACTTGGTACTAACTTGCTTTCAGTTAGTAGCATCACTAAACCAAAATTGTTCAATGACCTTTTTTTCCTGATCGATGTGTTTTTTAGGATCTGAAGACAAGGAAGGTGATTGGGATTGGCCGTGAGACGAATGGAATCTACCTTCTTGGAGGTTGCTCACATGGGGAAGATAGTGAAGTTGGGAGGTGTTTTGTTTCTCAGTCTGTGAGTCAGGTTATGCTATGGCATAATCAGTTAGGTCATTTATCTTTTAGGTCTTTGAAGAGTTTGTTTCCCAGATTGTTTGAGTTGGTCCAGATGTCTAGTTTGAAATGTGAAAGTTGTGA